ATTTATATTATATTTTATTTATTAAGCTGAATGGATATAAAAAAATATGTCAATATAGAAGGTGTACCAATTATTTTTTTACTACATATACATGCACCATTTGCATCAGTTTCATTTCATCAATTATTCAATACATATCTGCATCACGAACATATATAGCTAAATCTTAAACATAATTAAACACTAGGGCGTTATATATATACCACCGCTAAAGCTTAATGAAAAGTTTTAGCCTGGAAAAGCATATAAATGGATGCTAATCTAAGCTAACTGTACAGGTAGTGATATATTCTCTACCAATTAGGTTATTCCGTGAAGCGAAGGGCAGACCAATCTATAAAATGCAAGCCGTGCACCTCCTCAGTCAGTGAGCTACCTAATTATATATGAAACTGTACAGGTGCATGCTTTCCAGGTAAACAACCAGATTGAGATTTGTTCTTTCTGTTTCTCTCACCAATTGCTCCTCCCGATTGATTATAAACTTCCTTCATCTTGCTGTCAATGTCAATCTGTTTGACACGGCATTCAGGCGTACAAAACGCCTGGAAAATTCTGCAGGAAATGATCTCACTTCAATCCAGTTATCCAGAATTGCATCAGTATTATTCTTGATTATGCATGAGTTAACGGAGAACTTCCACTTTGAACCAGTAAGGAATTCATCATCACTTCAACAATCAATTAAATCACAAAACTCAGGGTAAACATACATAACTATTGTCACATACACATACAATTACCTACAGAATCAGAATTATTGGGTATAAAATGTTGGCATGGAAAAGTAAAAAACGAACTTTATATCCCCATACATAAGACATAATTAATAATAAAAAAGCAGCGGAGCTTAGTCAAAGTTTACAGGAAAAGAGCAATATTGGGTCCAGGAAAAAGAGAGGCTTAAAAAGAACTATGGTCCTCCAAATTATTAATGTCATATGTTCCATGATAGATAATGATCTACTTCAGTTGAAATAATCAAATAAAACAAAAAAAAAAGGAGTGTTTTTCAACTTGAACTGTATCAATTTGGACGTTAAAATTAATAAAATATATATTTAATAAAATTTTTTCTTATATTCATTTTAGTAATTTCAACTTTTTACACTACATATTAAATATAAACAAACTTTTTAAAATGGTGTGGCCTTCAAACAGATAAAAAAAGCGTCATTTATCATCGATCCATTTTCTGATCATTTCTCAGAATCCAACCAGAGACACAATAAACAATACTACTCCCTTAATTCATTTTTTGTAATTTTAATTTAATTTTTTGATATTTTATACATAAATTTTATATAATACTTTAAAATATTATATAATAATAATTAAAATTTTTTAATCAAATAAAAATATTCTGAAAGAAATTTTTAATAATTATTTATATAGATTATTAAATTTTAATCTATAATTCATATAAAAAAATTAAAGTAAAACTATTAAATATAATGAAAAAATATTTAATAAATTATAAATTCAGATATTGTTACATTAAAATTTATAAAATATTGTAATATATATATATTGCGATCTTAAAAACCATACCCATACATGTAGACTTCATTGTTGTGGTTGAGTCTCTTCTTGCATAAAAAGCATCTCTCAAGGAAATTCTCCGTACCATTTTCCGTAGCCGCCTCTGGAACAGCAGAAAGTCCCTTCGGAATATAGACCTCCGACTCTGTCGAGAAAAGAGAGACGGCAGAATTTATAGACGGCGGCGTCTGTGGGTTGTGGACAAAATCATCGCTGGGGATCCGCAGGCGCTTCATTTTGAGGTTGGTGGAAAGGAAGGAAATTTAGGCTTTTTTTTTTTTTTTTTTTTT